TATATAATAATAATAATAATTTTATAATAGTAATAGTTTTTAATTTTAATAAGTTATAATTTTAATAAGTACAATTTTAATAATGTATAACTTATTAAATATAATAAATAATATTATGTTTATATATTAATAATTTATAACTTTAATAATTATTATTATTTTATAATTTTAATAATTTAGAATTTTAATAAGTTAGAATTATAATAAGTTAGAATTTTAATAAATTATAATTTTAATAACTTAGAATTTTAATAATGCATAATTTTAATAAGTTATAATTTTAATAAGTTATATTTGTGTTTATTAATAAAAGAAACCATTCATAAATAGAAAGCAATCCATAAGCAATCCATAATTACATATATTAATTAAATATCTTCGTAATGATGGTCAGTTCTACAACAAGGACGACATCTATTATGTTGTGGATTTCTTCGTTGTAGTTCTTGCTCTTGGAATCACGGACGAACTTGTGGAGGATTTGAGTCATTTTGAAGGGCCATTTATCAAAAAGCAGCTAAGGAACTACTAGGTTCATTTGTAAAATCTGATTAATAAAGAGACTGCATGTAACTCTATGCTGAAGATGGAGCTATAAAATCAATTCCAAATAAGCTTGTAAAGAAATCCTCCGAAGTTGTTGCAAACGAATGCCTTCTATCAATTATGTTTTCTTCAAGCGTGATGTTTGGTGGAGGAAATGATGCAATCTTGTGATATGATAGTGTGGAAGACGTACCGGTATCAAATGATGTGGTAGTTCGCAGTTGTTGATGGCTCCTCCTTGAATTTTTTATTAGTGGTGGCACAGATAGGAAATGGATGGAATTGGCAATGTACCATTCCATGTATTCTCATGTGTGACACAATGGGCCTTGCATTGGATGACCTGTTAATGTCAGCTCACATCTATTATTCCACAAATCTATCTATTGTGCATGTCTTGTGATCCAGTTTTCATCTTGTCTTTCTCTCATGTCAATTGTGTAGAGATCGTCCAAATTGTTGGCTACCATACATTTTCGCTACCCTATTAGACTTGGCCTAGGGGTTAGTAACTACATCTATGTTGAGTTGAATGATGACGAAGATGTTGAGGCACTTTTCGATGTTTACGATTCTAATCAACTTCAATCATGTATTGAATTATATGTTATCTTTGCTACAAACGAATCACATCCACCACAACTTTCACCTTCACCTTTACCTTACCAAATTTACCAAACTTACCAAAACACAAACCCACTTGGTCCTTCATATGATATTCCCTCCAAATACGACATTCAATCCTACACGCAACTTTTAACTGGTCCATTCATGGACCTCAATGAAATACCCTCCCATCCATTTGAACAAACTATACCCTCTCAGCCAAATGTACAAAACACCATTGAAGAACATGTCATTGTTGGTCTCCCAACAGAAAATTTCTTTGATCCTTTTAGCGAGAACGAAGACGAAATCCTCTCCCAACATGAAGATGATGATGAAAAAGACTCCCTCCCACTTCTAAATATTCCACCACCAAAACCATTAGCCATATACAACCCACCTACACATTTTCTAGACTTCGCCAATCAAATCCAAGAACATGACCCTGAGTTTAGCCATGTCTTCAATCGTGAAATGGTTGTGTATCCGCCTGTAACACTCTTTGTTGGCCAATGCCTCCAGATAAAAGAACAAGTGCAAGATGTCATAAACAGATTTCACATTGTGAATCATTACATTTACAAGGTTAAGATGTCAAGCACAACTAGACTTGTCATGGAATGCGTTCATCATGACTGTGATTGAAGATGTCATGCTATATTGCGCACCAGAGAGCAACATTGGGAAATCATGAAGCTTGAAGGCCTCCATACATGTGTTTCCCCACTCATCTCACAATATCATAATAAATTGGGATCACGAATGATTTTTCAAATCATTTGTGAAATTATTGAGGTTGATCCATCCACATCGATATCAACCATCATAGCCCATATCAAGTCCATGATGGGTTACACAATTAGTTACAGAAAGGGATGGCTAGGGAGGCAACATGCCATTGAAAACATCTTTGGAAACTAGTAGGAGTCATACCACAAGTTACCAGCTATGTTACAAGCAATGCAAATATATGTTTTAGGCTTCATCTGAAAATTAAATACACAACTAGCATACCAAGGTGGCTTATTGGACGAGGGGAGTGTTTTCTTCAAGAGATTATTTTGGATCTTCAAGCCATGCATTGATGGTTTTTCCTTCTGCAAACCAATTGTTCAAGTGGATGGAACATTTTTATATGATAAATACAAAGGGACGCTATTGGTGATAGTTCCGCAAGACGGACGCAACAATATAATTCTCATTGCATTTGTTGTTGTTGAAGGTGAAACAAGCGATTCATGGTTCTTTTTTCTAAAAAAATTTAAGGAGGTATGTAACACCGCAAGACGTGTTGTGCCTCATTTCAGTTGTCACGAGACTATTAGAAGTGCATACGCCAGAAATGGAAGTGGTTGGGCAGAAAAAAAATTTTTCCATGTCTATTGCATTAGACACATTGCACAAAACTTCATGCAATGATTCAAAAATGCAGTACTCAAGAAGGATGTCGTCAACATGGATAATTTTATTTTTTCCTATAGTTTGTATTATCATTAATGTTTTTTAAACTTTCTTACTTAGTTTTCATGATTTAACTTATAATTTTTTTTGCAGCATATGGGATGACTGAACCTAGATTTTTTTACTATTACAACGTAGTAAGAGATAATAATGTTGAAGCAACACAATGGTTGGGTAACATCCCAAGGGAAAAATGGATGCTGGCATGAGACAATGGACGACACTAGGGACACAAGACAACAAACCTAACAGATTCTATTAATTCAGTCTGAAAGAAAACAAGAAACTTGTCAATTTGTTCCATGGTAATGGCGACATACACCCGTTACAACAAGTTCTTTGTTGAGAGAGGTAGGGAGGTGGATGTAATGACTAATGGTAGACATGTCTACTCAGAGATTGCAGCTAAAGCTATTCAAGATACACAATCAAAGGCGAACTCATAGAGTCATCAACTTTGACAGAACAAGCATTAGATTTTTAGTGGAAGAAACGCAACATCTAGGAGAAGTTTGACCCACTGAGAGATTTACAGTAAGGCTAGATGAGATGTGATGTGATTGTGACAAGTTTCAAAAAGTTCATATCCCTTACTTGCATGTACTTACTTCATGCTTACATGCACGCAACACAACTTTGAAAGCTATATATCTCTCATCTATACCTTACAACAAGTTTTAAAGGTATACAAAGAACAATTAGGAGAGTTCAAACACGAAGATTATTGGCCAACTTACAACGACTCAACTTTGTGACCAAATCCGTAACTAAAGAGAACTTCCATAAATATAACTTATACAAATAATATAAAGAAAATACATAACTATTTTTTTTTATTATACATGCTATTTTTTATCATGCTTAAAAAACTATTTATTCAATTTATTTATTATAAATATATTTTAATTGTAAATATTGTTAATATTTTTAAACACATATATATTTATAATACATACTAACTTATTAAATTTATAATTTTTCAAATAATAATCTATTAAATTTCTAACTTATTATAATTATAACTTATTAAATTTCTAACTTATTATAAATATAATTTATTAAAATTATAACTTATTAAATTTATAACTTATTAAAATTATAATTTATTAAATTTATATTATATGAATTATAAAATTTTCTATACCATTAAATTTTTTTTATAAAGTTAAATTATTTAAATAAACAAATACACGTAATACCTTATTTTATATACATATTTTTTTAATTATAATAATAATATTTTATTTTAAAATTACATAATAAATAAAATATAATTATATATTTTTTTAAAAAAAACAAGACCCATTTTAATCATTATAAATTGTTAAAGTTATAAATTATTAAAATTAAAAATTATTAATATTACAAATTATTTTATATAAATTTATATAATTAATAAAATAATTTTTACATAAAAAAAATGCCGTTTAGAATTTGATTTTCGGAAAATCTACGAGATTAATTTTTGTAAATATTAAGAGGGAGGATTTATTTTGAGAATTTTTTTAAAAAAATATTATAATAGTAGAAAAATTCACCTACCTACCCGGCAGATATTTTGATGAACGAATGGATTATATCGGAGGTTGCCATTAAAAATAAAAGAAGTGAAGGAAAATATATTAATTATTTTTTTTAAGCACGTGCATTATACGGCTAATGGGAGGGAAAAAGGTAGTACCTCTACTAAGAAATT